CAAAATAAGGGCCCGTCTTATACACCGGTGCGTCTTATATTCCGAAAAATACGGTGATTATCGTTCTAACCTCTTTTTTCTCACCTTTTTATACACTACAAATTTTGAAAAATAACAAAAACTTCGAAGAATCTATGGAAAATATAGTAATGCTTACAGGAATACAAAACCACTGATAATTTTAATTATTTTAACATCTTTTCTTCTTCAGTGTTTTATAACTTAATTATTTTTTGACATTGTAATATAAAAAAATTAACGTACTCCAGCTTTGGTGACAGTTCGGGTTTCCCGTATACCTTCCATAGGGATCAGGCTTAGTTAAGAGATAGTCGAAGGATAGGAAAACACAGTCACAAATTTTTAAAGATGAGTTTGTGATGCATTCCGCATAGCAGCCCTGAAGTGAAAATAAATTTCATCAGAAACACATCGAAATATCTTATTTGTTTTTTTTAAATATATGAATGCAAAAACTCTAAATTTCATGGAACAGGTTAAGGTTCGTGACAATTCTTTATACAACACATGATATACAGTCTTGATCAAAATGTTTGCATTCTGCTCTATATTGATGGAGTAGTTATTGAGGTAAATGCACGAGGAGTAACAGAGAAGAAAACGTGGGACCGGATAAACATGTACGAGTTGTTATTCTGGTCTGTATAAGTTGTTTTGAGCATTTGTTTGTCAAATTTGTTTGTTTTATATAAAAGGGTGTGTTTTTGGTATGATCTTTTTCGAAACAGATCAACGCTTTGTTCAGACCATTTCTCTGTACTTGGTGTAGAGTAATGCCTCGTCACATGCCAGAAGTTATAGGGCGTCAAATTCTCCGACTGTTCAGAGATGGTATGAAGCCAGAACAGTAGGGTACATCGTACTACAGTAAACGTTGTTCTAGGAAAGTCTTCTGGTAGATGCTGAAAAACTATTGCCTGAGATTATCCTGTTTTGATCACGTCGAGGTCGAAAGAAGTCTTGCGACATCTTACACAAGAATGGCATGAACACATTCATTCCATCCAGGGTATCCAGAAGAACAGTGAATAGGTGACTGACCAAACAAGGTTATTTTGCAAGAAGGGTTATCTGCGAACCAATATTAACTAGAATTAACTGCCGTCACCGCGTTACTTGGACAAAACAGCTTGCCAACTTATAGTTCTGACACGGCGACATGTTATCTTTTGATATGAGTCCTGTTTCCGGCTTGTTAATGCTGATTGTAGGATTCGTGTTCATCGTTTGCTTGAAGAACAGATGAGGGAAGACTATTTTTCCCACAGGAGGTGGTGCAGTACATGTTTGGGCAGCTATTCATCATGGTGGAGAAACTGCTCTTCATATCCTCTAAGGAAACGTCAATGGCGCCTCCTATAGGCGCTTCCATGGAGAAGCTATTTCTATCATATGATAGGGCAAAGTTTGGGAATAATTTTGTATTCAAGGATAATAATGCCACTGCCCAAAGTGCGCATATTGTACAGGATTATCTCGACCACTGGGACGTTACAAGATTGCCATGGCCAGCAAAGTCTCCAGATTGTAATCCCATTGAGAACTGTTGGACAGAACTGAGCCAGAAAATTTCTAACCACGACCCTAAACCAGCTACTATAGCTGAGTTGTAACGCCTTTTAGTGCGAAATTGGGATGAAATCACGATAATTACATCAATAACATCATCGACAGTATTCCACGTCACCTTGCGGAGGTTATTAGAGCATGACGAGACCAATCACCAACCAAGTAGTGAATGTTTAATATGATGTTTAATGTGAACTGATAAAAGATTTAAAACGCTATTTATAATAATTTGATGTCACAGTTTGCCATTATATATGTTTTGGTAAGGTTTTGTTGTGATAGGTGAAATGCTGAATTAAACATCTTTCTACAAGTGCCCGATAAAATTGTTTGCTGTTCTAATAAATCGTTCATGATGTCCATAGAACCTGCCTTATTATACAAACTACACATGTAGATGTTTAATATAACATGCATTTCTCAGATTTACAACGCTAAATGTATTTGGATTCCATCTTAATAATAATGATCTTATTTGTTACAATATATGCAAAAATTTTGGCCAAGATTGTACTATACAAAGAAATTATTTCCTGGTGAAATATTTCGGAAACAAATAGGTCTTACTAAATCACTGATATAAATCCTGTCAGCCTGTTATCAGAAGTTGTTGTGAGGATCTAGCTAAAACAATTCTACACAGTTTGTAAGACCTCCCAAATGTCTAGTTTAAATCGAAAGGTAATCTCCTAAACCCTTTGAGTTCAGTAGTCATTTTGTAATTTTTATCGCTTTATTGCCGCGAAAAAAGGAGGGCTCAAGTGAGCGAGAAAGTCAATGATAAAATACGTAAAGATGCCGCTAAATGAAAGTATATTTTAATGTCATGCGTAGAATGGGTACATTTGTATCGAGGAACAGTTACTGTGCTACGTCTCAAATTAGTGGAAGGGGGAGGCCCATGTCTATTTGTATAGAATTACATTTTAAGTGTCTGTAATTTATGTCGTCGATTTGAAAACATTATGATGTTTCGTATTAAGTTTTGTGTGTTTTAATAATATGTTTATCGTGAACTTAGGGTATTGCAGATTGTTTGTGATGATTAATACTGGTACGGTAACATGTACGTGATGATTATACTGGTACGGTAACATGTACGTGATGATTATACTGGTACGGTAACATGTACGT